CGGCCACTTCACTTGGCAGCAGCGGCGGTGGCATACGGTCAGCAGCTAAACAGCTTGTAAATTTTCTGCAGGTTAGTAATTGAACTTCTGCTTTTGATTTGTACTTACTGTTGTTGCTGCTGCTGCTGCTGCCTTGCTTGCTTCCAACTGTATTGTTTACTTACTTTTTTTTTGTCATTATCTGGAATATTGAATTTCTTCCGGGGAACTCTAGAATTATTTTGTAATGGCGTCTTGCGTCGGTTGTGACGAACCAATTGATGAAAGCAAAAATTCAGTGACATGTGTGGAATGTAATTATTTATACCATTTGGGAGCCTGTTCAGGTGTCTCTGAATCAACTTACAAATCGAAAGGTGAAACATGGCGAAATGCATGGCGCTGCCCGACATGCAGAACAGCTAAGTCAAGGAGCAGTCAGAGTGGGAAGCAGAAATCAGATGACAGCGATGCGACCGCTATACTCGCTGGAATTCATGAAAAACTGGAGTCGCTCATGTCACTAAAGGCAACTGTTTCTGCCATCGAACTGTCTCTGAGCATGATGTCGGCGAAATATGACGAGGTACTCCAACATATGCGTCAACATGACACCGACATAAAAGATCTAAAAAAAAGGGTGACAAACATAGAAAACCGCGACAGAGAAATAAACGTTCAACATATTGCCCAGGACTTGAACGCACTCGAATGGCAAAGTAGGAAAATGAACCTTGAGATACACGGAATTCCAGTGTCTGAGCACGAGAACCTTCTTGAAAAGTTAAACCAGGTCGCTGTAAAACTGGACGTGCCGGTACTTTCCGAGATTGAGGTTGTTGCCTTGCACAGGCTACCGGCGCGACAAAACAAAGTGCCCGGAATTATCGTTCGCTTTGCAAGACAGGACACCCGTGAACAGTGGTTCAATCAACGGAAGAAACTAAATCGCACAGGAGAAGACGCATACATTCTTGAGAACATGACTACCAAAACCGTGCTCTGCTCTGGAAAACAAGAGAATGGGCAAAGCAAAATGATTACCGCTACACGTGGCACCGAAACGGTAAAATTTTCGTGAGACGAACCGACGGTGATAAGGCCATTCTTATCAAGAGCGAGATGAACTTGCAGCATTTGAACTGAATAATGTTACCGTTTTTTTTTGTGTTTTTTTTTCATGACTACTTCCATAAAAATTATGCCAGAGCCGAATTATTTTTTGGCCTCTGAATTAAAATCCTATCTCGGGAATGAGTATAGTAAGTCATTCAAATGTGTCCACTTAAACACTCGTTCAGCTCGGAACAAAACTGAAGAGCTTGCTTTATTTTTTAATGAATTTTGTTTTTTGTTCGATGTTATTATGTTTTCAGAAACATGGTATTCAGACGACAGTGATGTTTTTGAACTGCCAATGTATAATGGATACTTCCTGAATAGAACAACTCGGCGCGGAGGAGGCGTGTCGTTAATGCTTAGAGATAATATGTGTGGTGAGGTATTAGAACAATACTCGATCATTAATAAAGACTATGAAGTGCTATCCCTGCTTGTGAACAAAAATCTTATCTCTGTGTTTTATAGGCCACCGGACGGGAGTTTGACGTCTTTTTTTGCTTTTCTAGAAACATATTTTAGGTTCGCAACAGAAAACAGATATAATATTATTCTGGGGGGTGATTTTAATCTCAATATGCTTCAAGACACCCCAAATAAAAGACAATTAGAAGTACTGATTAACAGTAGTGGTTGTACGAATGTCATTACCTCACCTACCAGAATTACAGCAGAATCATCAACTTTGCTCGATTTGTTTATAACAAGTTTTGAATTACCCTGCGTAAAATCGGGGATAATTAGTACAGATATAAGTGATCATCTAGGTATATTTTTGTGTGTCAAAAAAGAAATATCTAAAACTACAAGGAACAGATTTCGAGGATCCTTTCAGAATATTACTGAGTATAACCTTCGTGAATTTAGGACTAAAATCTCGGAGCTAGACTGGAACGAAGTCTTTAATGAAATGAATGCTGACGAAGCATATAATTTGTTCTTAAACAAATTTCAGCAACTATATAAAATGTGCTTTCCTTATAAATCTGTTAGATTGACCAAAAGAAATCGTAAACCATGGGTAACACCAGAGCTTCTTATTAAACTTATAGAAAAAATGTTTTGTATAAAAAGTTTGTGGAAACAAGGGAGCCTGAACACCTTAAAGTTTTCAAATCATATCGAAATAGACTTACAAAGGAACTAAAAACAGCTAGAGCAAGGTACTTTAGTAACTACTTTATATCATCATCAATGAGGACAGACGTCACATGGAAAAAGTTTACCAATGTTCTAAATCGTTCACATAACATAAAACATATCCAAAAAATACGCCTGAATGATAGGGACCTAACGGATCAAGCACTAGCAGACGCTTTCAATGATTATTTTGTAAACCTATCAAGAGATGATCCCGATACAAATGCTTGCGCGTATATCGAACACAGAAGTAGTAGCTCTATCTTTCTTCAGCCAGTAACTGATAATGAGGTGACACAAGCATTGTTATTACTAAAGAATAGTAGCAGCTGCGACGCTGACGAGTTACAAATAGGTCCGATAAAATACGTTTTAGATCTCATATCGCCCTGTTTGACGTATATCTTTAATTTGTGCTTGTACAATGGGGTATTTCCCCAAAAAATGCAGATTGCGAAAGTTAACGTTCTCTATAAAAAAGGTGACAAGAATGATATAGGTAACTATAGGCCAATCTCAATTTTATCAGTGTTTTCAAAAGGCCTCGAAAAAATTCTACTTTCGCGTATGGTACATTTCGCAGATAAACACGGTTTAATCACTCCATCACAGTTTGGGTTTCGCAAACACCGTTCCACAGAATTGGCACTCCTGGAGCAAAAAGAATACATCTTGAAAAGCTTTGAAGAAAAAAAAATGACTCTTGGTATTTTTATTGATTTCAGAAAAGCATTCGATCACTTAAATCACAGTCTGCTACTAAAAAAATTACAAATGTATGGATTTCGTGGACATGCATCAACTCTCATAACATCTTATCTTGCACATCGTAAACAGCACGTTCATATAAATGGTTATTCATCTGACATTAAACCCATTCTATCTGGCGTTCCACAAGGAAGCATATTAGGTCCCTTCCTTTTTAATTTATATGTTAACGATATTGTCAATATTAATAAAAGTGTTAAATACGTAATTTACGCTGATGATACAAGTTTATTTTTTACCGGTAACTGCTGTCAGGAACTAGCAATAAAGGCAAATCAAACGTTGAAAGACCTCGCTACTTGGAGTCAATGTAATGCTTTAAAAATAAATGATAACAAAACAAAAGCAATTTTATTTCGCCCAAAAAGTAAGAATGATTATATAACTACTGATATTGTTTTAAATGGAACCAAAATAGAGATTGTATCTAGTTTTAAGACACTTGGCGTTATATTCACGGATCGAATGAGTTGGGATGAACACGTAAATTATATTTCGGTAAAATTGTCACGAGTCGCAGGCTTAATGTATCGTCATCGCCATATTCTGCCCACAAATGTAAAATTAATTATTTATAATGCATTGTTTCTCTCCCACATTCATTATTCCTTCTTAGTCTGGGGTACTACTACGAATACAAATTTAAACAAAATACTTGTGATACAAAAGAAAATATTGCGAAGTATTTGTAACGTGTCATACGATCACCCTAGCGAACCTCTCTTTAAACGTTTAAATTTGATGCCTGTAAATAGATTATATAAATATCGTTTATGCATGACCTATAAATCCGAAGTACAAACAAATCTTCATGCGCTTAGTGAATTGGCGTCTCTCTCGCTAAGAGTAGCAACATATCCTACTCGAAACACGGAAATTTGGACGCTCCCTATTTGCAAAACTAACTACGGTGAACAAATGTTAAAGTATGCACTTCCTCGACTGCTTAATTTTCTTGTTACTCACAACATTGACCTTCCGACAACATCTGTAAAAAATCTCCGAGCATTTTTTTCTTTTCCAAATGTGATTGCTTAGTTGTCATGTTTCATAAACTAAATTTTTGCTGAATTGTATAATGCTTTGCTTGCATGTGCTTTGATTTTGTTTGCCTTTTATATATAGTCGCACCTTTTTTGTAATATTGTCCTGTTCTTATCTCTGAAATTGTTATCTTTTCTCTTGGTTTTCTTTTTGGATTACTTGTGCCACTGCTGCCATGTGTAAGGAGGGGGGGCCGAGGGCCCGTCAAGCTGCATGATGCAGCTTTTTTCCTCGGTCTCCCTCCGTCATTTGTGTTTTGACGGAAAATAAACATTATTATTATTATTATATTTGTAAAAAGAAATATCAATTAGAGATGATGAATTGTGTGTTACTCTTGTAGGAAGATTGATCACCTTAAGAAGACCATGGGAATTCAACAAAACATTCAGCCTCATTTTTGAAGAGTCATTTGCTAGCATGTTTATATTGACATCTCCGCAAATCAAATCGAAATTATTTTTATTCACATAACAAAAAAAAATGATCTAAGAAGGGCGTGATAGCACCGTTCGGGGGGCGATAACAAACAGCAAGTGTCGTATTTTGCAACTCGAGTGCCAGAAACTCGTAATCACTTGTAATGGCACAAAAAGTTTGTATTAGTGCACAATTCAAAGCCTTTTTCACTAATATACATATGCCACCACCTCGACCGCTACTGCGATTTAAATAAAAAGTATCGTATGAAGGAAGACGGAAAATATTTGTTTCATCCGTGGACCATGTTTCGGTTAACATTATTACGTCAAATTCCTGGCTTAACTGTTTAAGGAAAAGAAAGATATCCGATTCTTTATTTTTCACTGACCTTACGCTCAAATGAAAACATTTGAAAGATTTTAAATACGTTTTACCTACATATTTCTCAAAATTGTGTGGCAGCACGTAGGATTTATTGTGCGTAGTACACCTCATGTTTACTAGTTTTCTTTTTTGTCCCTTTTTAATTACAGTTTCTCAAGGTCGTAAACAGAAGAGATCACCAGTGGTCGTTCCCCGTCAATCCTGCGCAAAAGAACCCTTCCGTTGCTGTGCCACACATACTTGAAGTTATTTACCTTTGCCCAGTTTTTTGTCTCAAACAACAAATCACGCGTTCTTTTTGTTAGATTTTCCAGTACGTATGAATCATCACTAGAATTGCGGATTTTATCTTTGTTCTGCCACCAGACATCTCGTTTAGCTTGCGTCGCGAAACGACAGATTTCGACCGGCATCTTATCCTTCCGAGACGGCAGACGGTGAAGTGCTACTATGTCACTTTCCACAAGTTGTGGAAGTTCGATATGCGCCGCTATTTCGTTTATTTTCCCTAGCAAGTCTTCCCTTGCCGTTTGTTGAATTCCATGAAATTCAAGATTTAGCCGTCGGCTCCTCCACTCAAGATTACCGACTTGGCTGCTTAGTTGGGCAGTTTCACCCTCCCGCCTCTCGATCATTTCTACCCTCCGTTTTAGATCTAGGACATCGCGCTCGTTATTTTCCGTTCGTTTAAGAAGGTCATCGAACTTTTCACTCATGAACTGAATGGAATCTTCCATACTCTCAACCGTTTCCTTTAGAGGAAGTAGCTGATCCAGCTTGTCGTTGATAGTTTTCAGCCATATCCGTATATCCTGCACTTCCAGTTTATCGGCTGGTTCTTGAGATAGTTGCGAATGTGACTTAGAACGTCGGCATGTCGCACAGCGCCACGCTTTGCGATAACTTTCGCCCTTTGTTTTAACAGTGTTCTCTGTGATCCCTGCGTATTTTCCAGTGTGGTATCCAGATCCACAATCACTGCACGTGATTGGCCGATCTGACATAGCGAAAACTTCATTACACACAGGACACTGTTCATCCAGACCCATAATCGCACTCAAACCACACTTCGAATCACACTTTGGCAGCAGCAGCAGCAATACCAAAGAGAGCAATTTTGTGTTGCAAGAAACAGGCAAAACACTGACCTGCAGCGAAGCAAGACACGTCTTAGATTGCTGCTGGTTTCCGCGCCGCCACTGCTGCCAGTGAAGTGTCCGAGCTCGGTTGCGTCTTTATATAACTTGGCCCAGCGACGACAGCGCCAGTGGTAGGGGCGCTGTCGTCGCCCCTACCACTGGCGCTGAAGTTATTAGGTCTAGTCGAGAGCGCCAGCTGAAGGGTTGGCGACAATCCAGATGACGGCAGGTGTGGGATCCAGGTGGGCGACGCAGCGATTCGGTAGTCCAGATGATGACAGTGCGAGCTCCCGGTCGCTGACTCAGCTGATGTCGTTACCAGGTGGTTCTGTTTGCTTTTCCCTTCCTGCAGTGAAGCAAGACACGTCCTAGATTCCTGCTGCCTGGAAAAGAAGAGGCTGATGAACGCCGTGGAGGAGGTGCTAGAGTTGAATCTGCTAAAGTTTTAATCAGGATCGGGCGTAACAGTGGAAAGCTTCCTTACCGTGTTAGATCTCTATTTAAAGTCAACAGTCCTCGAATATAATAATCGAAAATAGATCCAGAAAGAAGGTGTTTGCATAGGCTCGTCGGTCGTTCCGTTGTTAGCTGAGATATACCTCAACAGTTTGGATAGAGTATTGTTTGACAAGATGATTAAGTTGTCACCTAACGTGGGCTTCATCAGAAGATATGTAGATGATATTTTTGTCTGCACGTTTGAAGAATGAAAATCGGAGTATCTTGAAAAGCTTATTAGGTCAACGGCCCCGGAGTTGCATTTTACAGTAGAGAAACCAGAGGAGAACATGTTGCAGTTTTTGGACTTCCGCATTCAGGTAAAAAATGGCGTATGTTGGGAATATGGTAAGGAGATGGCTAAACCGGTACTTCCCAAACAAAGCTGTCACTCTAAAATTATTAAGGTGGGAGTTGCGAAATCATTAATTGGTAATGCGCTAAAAAGGTCATGTACCCATTTCATGAGTCAAGCTTTAAAAAGACAATGGGGTAGACTGGAGGACGTGGGGTATGAGGAGACTTTTTTAAAACGGCAACTTCCTATTCAAATCAGAGACAAGCGGGATAAAGCAAATGTGAGGAACCGACGAGTTGCTATGCCGTATTTTCACGATATTTCCCATAACATAAAAGCGTCGGCGAAAAAGTTCGGCGTATAAACAGTGTTCACATCCGATTTTAAGTTATGCAAGCTTACACCTTTTTAATCGAAACAGGAGGTTTGCCTGAAGGCACATCGCGAGAAGTCGGTACCGTGTGAGAATTTTGTGGCTTATGAGATTCCTTTGAAGTGTGGATTTAAATACGTAGGTCAGACGTCGAGATGTCTAAATGATAGACTGACGGAACACAAACGAAATGTGAAAAACAACGCGTCCAATTCCGAGTTAGCCAGGCACCTTATAAAGTGCAATAATTGTAAAGCCAACTGGTCTGAAACGGAAGTAATTCACAAAGAACGCAATGATATGAAACGTGTAGTCCAAGAAACGATTCGTATAAAAACGTCTGGCAACTGTATAAGCCAGGCGTCATTGCATTTTCAAACGAGAGAAACATTTTCTCTCGTTTTCTGACCGCAGCGGACGTGTTTTCGAAAGCTCCCGAAGCTAAGTAATCTTTTTGTTTTCTTTTCCTATTTAGCGGTGCATGGAATAGGGACGGTAGTTTTTGGCAGTAGTAGGGACAGGGGGATAGGATAGTTTATAGCTTAGTTTAGATTCTTGTAGGCACAGGAGTATTATCAACGGTGCCACGTGACTGGGCCGCGCGGCTTTGTTTGAATGGTTGGCGGCGTTGTTGGTAGTGTTGCGCGCTAAAGGCAAGAGGCACACCGCATTGGGGTTGATCCTCCAGGTTTACAGCCCTACTGTGAAGCATTTTTTGATTATGCTAGTGGTTTTATAAATAGAAAAAAAAACTGTTTAAAGTAGCGATAGGATAGTCGGGGTTCCGCAGGTTTTTTAGGTAGAGTCACGAGACCGAACCACCTGCACGTTTGAAATTTTTGGCGGGCTAGTTGGTTGTGAGGGCAGAGGCGTACACAGGCTTTCTTGGTTTGAGTTTTGGTGGGATATTCGTCGTGGGGTCGCGCTGTGTGTCGGTAGACAATGGTGAATACGCGAAAGAAGGATGCGCAGCCTAAAGTAAAAGAAGCACCCGATGTGGAGTGTGAGGAGTGTTGCCGTTGGTGCTGCATGATGGAGACGGACTTCAAAACTGTAGCAGAAGCCGAGGAGAGCAGCTTTACCTGCCAGAGTTGCGAGAAGGTAGAACTTGGTTTTGGGACAATAGGAAGCGAATGGGCGGATACGGTTCAGGAGTTGAAGCGGGAGATAGGAGTAGAGCGGGAGAAGCGGGTACAGCTCGAGGCGCAGGTGGGAGATTTGATTAAGAGGGCCGAAGCGGATTGGAGGAGATGACCAGGCAATGGGAAAGTAAGATAGATAGCGTGGCGGGAGAGCTGAGGCGAGAACGGGAACAGCGAGCCGAACTTGAGCGACAGGTGGAGGAGTGGAAGGTGGAGTTGGAGGAGCACAAGAAGAAGTGTGAGGAGATGGTGCAGCAACTGACAGGAGTAGTTAATAAGAGAAAGGGGGAGGTGGCAGATAAGACGGCGGTGGGGACGGCAGACAGGTGTGACGGTGTGTTTGACTGTGTAGGAAAGGAGCCTGCACAGCTGTATAGTGCTGCAGTACAGCAGGGTTCGAGGAAGGCAGCAGAAGTTGAGGCAGAGAAAGCACAGAAAGCTGGAGGGGATGAAGACAGGCAGTCGGGGGTTAAGAAGGTGCTGGTGGTAGGAGACTCAAACATAACAAGGGTTAGGGAGGGGCTGCTGGACAGGGTGAAAGGGGATGGGAGGGTAAATGTAGTGGCTCAGTCAGGAAAGTGCATGTTAGACGCTATGGCCAAAGCGAAGGATGAGGTGTGGGAGAACAGGGAGGGAGAGAACCTAGTTGTAATACACGCAGGACTAAATGATGTGTTAAAGGAACGGAGCCAGAACCTCGCCAGGCAGATAGAGTTGGGGTTACGTAAGCTGAGGGAGGTCTCTGAGACTGTGCATGTGCAAATATGCACCTTCCCAGAGGTCTGGGGACAGTCTTTGCAGATGGAGAAGTGGGTGGTGGAAACAAACCGGGTAATAAGGGGGTTGAGCCGACGATTTGGGTACGGAGTAATGGAAGTCAACAGGGTGGTGTACGAGGCTCGCTCCGACCCTTTTACATGGGCCATCCACTACAGTGGAATCACTGGGAGCACGGTAGGTGATAGGATTGGACGTCACATCGTACATTTTTTGGGGGGTCCCGGAGCCCTGAGGGTGGCGGTGTGAATGAGGGCCAAAATGTAGATACACAGGGGAGGGTTTCGGAGGGTGAGAGGAAGCCTCGCAGGACTATAAAAAAGAAACAGCTTAACATAGGGTTCATAAACATGCAGGGAGGCAGGAACAGAATAAAGTGGGAGGAGATTCAGGAGCAATTAGAGAGCGAAAACTCTGCAGTGTATGGACTAGCAGAAACACATCTGAGGGATATGGAAGAACCACCATACATACTAGGATATCATTGGATGGGATGCAACCGGGCCAATCGGGGAACGCAAGGGAGGGGGATTAGGGGTGTTAGTTAAGGGTCAGGAATGGGAAACGGAACAAGAGGACTGCAGGGAACACATGTGGGTCAAAGGCAATATTGGGGCTCTGGACACAATCTTGGGTTTTGTTTATCTAAAAACAGGGAGTGATGCAGGGGAGGAAAATGCAGAACGCTTGACATGTGTATCAGGAGACGTTAGGGAAATCGGCACTAACAAGGAAATAATTATCTTGGGGGACATGAATGTACATTTGGAAGACTTTGATTGACATACAGATACAACAGGGAGGATGTTAGAGGAGTTCTGCGAAGCTCTTGATCTGGTATTGGTTAATGCTCAAGTAAAATGTGATGGAAAAATAACATGCGAAAGAAAGAACTCTCACTCGACTATTGACTACTGTTTAATGTCGCGTAAGATATACAACAGATTAGGAGGCATGGAAATAGGTGAGGAAGGCACAAAAAGTCTGGGGAGCGACCATAAGAGAATCAAGATCAGATTCGGCACAGTAAAATCAGAAACGCAAAATCAAAAACGAGAAGGTAGGAATAACCTAAATGATAAACAACTACAGGAGGTATCCAAATCGAGAACATAGTATCCAAGCAACCGGTAAGGGAATGGACATACGAAGACTTAATTAGTGTTTTCAAAAGAGAGTTACAGAAATATCGAATCAAACAAGGAGGTAGAAAACTAAAACGTAAGCTCCAAAGCTGGTGGGATAAAGAGGTTAAGGCAGCAATATCGAGACGCCAGGCGGCATCTAAAGAACACAGATGGGCAAAGAAAAAGGGGGCCACACCAGACGAAGTAGCATCAAAATGGGAGGAATTTCAGGAAAGAAAGCGGGAGGCATCAGCATTAATACAGGCCAAAATTGGGAGAGCAGGGGTCCAGTGGATGATAGAGATAAACCAGAAGGACAGGAATGCGGCAAAAAGGTTCTGGGAACACATCAGTGCGCAGGGGAAAAAGACCGAGGGGTACCA